TCATGGGACAACGTGGCATTTTAAAGAATTTTGTGAATGTTTTGAAACCTTATCATACATTTTACTAGTGAGTCTTTAAAATGCTATTCTTTTAAAATTTACTCTGGAAATCATGTAATTGTGGGACAACGTGGCATTTTGTAGAATTTTATTAGAGTTTTTTAGAAATTTTACCCTACATTTTACTAGTAAAATATATACTAACTTTTACTACATTTTACTAGTAAAATGTATACTAACAATAAATATAATTACTAGTAAAACCCGACATCGATCGACGAGTAATTTCTCGCTGGAAAATGTATGGTTCAAAAACTCTCATAAAATTCTTCGAAATGCCACGTTGTCCCACGTTTACATGATTTTCGGGATAAATTTTAAGAGAAAATTCTCTCTCCGTGTGCGTTTTATATTAATTCTTCAGTCAGGCGCGACACGCATAAACGAGATATCCCCGAATCTATGCGCGATTCGCAGATCATCCGAGACAAATAGATACATCGCGTAAAATCACAGATTTACGATTGCGAATTACAGATCGTCTCGAGCGGGACGTATCACGCTCCCCTTTCTTCTTCTCCTCGCTCTTAACGTATCCGCAATCGCGATACGCCGTAAAGCCCGTATCAGACTACGGTTTGAGATTGAGATTAGATTGAAATTTCCCCAATTAGAGTAAAAGTTATTAAATTCGAGATTAGTAAACTTTACTGTGATTGGTCGAATTTCAAACTAATCACAATCTCAATCCGTAAGTCCGACGCGAGCTTAAGGGGGAATCGGCGCGGCGTCGCGACGCGTCGGCCGAGAACGCGCTACGGCGGAGAACGCCGGGCACCGGCGCCGTGGGTGGGAGTCCTCGAGAGAGTCGCCGAGCCAAGACTACCCGAAAGAGCCGTGCACCACTCAGTCTGTCCGCGGGCGTCCGTCAAGCAGACTTCTGTCCGGCTCTCCGTCTCCCACCCTCCCTGCCACGCTCCCTACCCTACGCGCGCTCCGGTCTCGAAGGCCTCGCGGAAGACACATGTCGTCGGCTAGTGGTGCAGCTGCTACCGGCTAACCCGCGTGACCGCGCGGTGTTAACGTAAACGCGAGTTCACTACGTTGCTCCGGTCCGTCGTCGCGTCGCGCATTGTTTTTCCCCACCCCTCTGTTTTCATCCCCCGCGCGATCGGTTCTCATATATGAAAGTGACTCGACGCGGTGACACAGGGTGCTCGTAGTGCGGCCAGTGAACAACCAGACCGGTGGACAAGATGCGGCGGACGGGGTTTATCTGGGGCCTCCTCGTAGGGCTGGCGGTCGTCGCCGACTGCTTCAACGTCGAGACCAAGCACTACGCGGTGTACCGCATGGAGGAGAGGTCCATGTTCGGCTTCGCCGTGTCGACGTACCGTGACAGATACGCCCGCGGATGGTGAGTCCTCCTTTCTTCATCGTCGCGAAATGGGACCGAGACGAGACGATAAACGCCACCTGAGGATCGGTTGCCATCAATCGAACTCTAAATCTTCGCTGCCGTTCAACGCGCGGGCACTTCGCGACAGGGAGATGTATTTACGTAAAGATCAAGTGACGAGACGTGAGAGAAGACTGTCGATCGTCAATGGTCGCGAGGCGAAGCGACCTTGTTCGTTATATTTGAAAAGACGTAGCGTAAAACACCCTACGCTCCACACAGGATGCAATTTGTTGGGTCCAACCTGCAGGATCCCTGCAGCTCGGACCCAAGTAATTGTGTGGTCTGTGTAGGGGGTCTTAGGCTGGCACTGCATTTGCCGCGCGAACAAATTTTTTAAGCGTCCTGATTGGCTAGGAAATAGAAAAATTCTGGAGACTCGGAAACCTCACTATCCCGCGACCAACCGACACACTTGAAAAACTTGTCATTCGACAGACGTAACGTCAGCGTAATCCGTCGACACGATCGAGCGTCCTGGGGCTCGATTCTTGAATTCACTCGAGAGAGAGAGAGAGAGAAACGAAATACGAAAATCCAGTCCAGTATTGGGAATTGTCCAGTACTGGACAAAAATGTCCAGTAATGCCGCAAATCTGTGCGCCACAATGCCCTCAGCGGTTTTCCCCCCTCGGTTTATCCGATGGAAATTTTTCTCAGTGTACGTTTATCATGCGAATGCATTCAGGAATCGAGCCCCTGGAAGGTGGACCGGTGCATGGCGTTGCCATATCTGTTGCGTGCTGCATCCCTGTGCCAAACCATCTCGCGTGTTCCTCGAGATTCAGGGACTCGATCGTGAATCTTTTCCTCTAGCGTGAACTCGTGAAAAGTGAAAAGTTTCATTGAAGAATTCGATATTCGTTTCTAACATAAAATTTCCAGACAAATAAATACTTCGTAACGCGCTAATAGGACGTAATTGGATAAACGCTTTCCTTAAATAGGCAAATTTTCCCCTCGTTAGCCAGGTGTTTGACTCATCGCGCGATTACACGCGCGATTGACTCACCCGAGTCTGTCGCGAAACGGGAGATATCGGACGTTTGCAATTGCCGTGCGACTCGTCTCGTGTTCCGCCGGGATCGTCACGGCGATGAAATCATTTCAGACCACCGGGGCCCGATTCTTGAATTCACGCGAAGGAGAAACGTATGCGGAAATTCTGCTCTCGCAGAACAGTTGAGAGCCGATTGGTTAAAAACCGTGCGCGATTTCTTTCCATGCGCGATTGGCCAGTTTTATAATTACAGATGTTACTAAACCTGATTAAAGGTGACATGTAAACGTAATCAATGTGTCGACAAGCGTGAATTTTTATGTTGCCAGCAGATAACTAATCACTAGACAATTTTCGACACAACTGGCACCAATTTATTGTCAAGACCTACACAAGGCGCTGCGTTTCAACCATATACGGGTTGTGGTCCTTTTCAAACGATATGACACCATTGCTAGGTCAAGATGTGTAATAACAAGTGTGAATTTCAATATCGCCAGTAGATAATTAATCAATAGACAATTTTCGACACAACTGGCATCAATTTATCGTCAAGAGCTACAAGGCGCTACGTTTCAATGTGTCAAGCTGAACGCATCATCAACGAGATTCCTGCGGCAGCAGCGTGTCGATGTGACTCTTACGTCTCTCGTTACGAAATAAATATTCGAGTCGTGCGCGCCGCAAATCAGAATGAGCGGTCACCCCCCTGTTCGAGATGCCATCCGGATAAGGGTTTTCGCCTCGTGTCTCATCTCGGGCTGTAATAACGAGCGAGATAATCCTCCGACCATCGCCGATAAGCACCCTTCGGGGGGACGGAGAGCTCGCAACCCCCGGAGACGACTGTCCTCCCGCCGGCGCGGCGGTCTGACGAGCGTGCTCGTTCGTTCTCCAATTCCGTGACTCACGCTCGCGACGGGGCCACGAATAAATACGCCTCTGCCTCGGCTCCCGCGTCGCCCGCTCGGCGACGATTATAAATAATATCGGCGAAACGGGGAAACGCGGCTAATAGCGCCGCCCGCATCTCGTCGGGATCCACGGGAAAAATCAACGCCGGATGATGCCGAATAGCGGGCACAATGGAACGCCGCAGCCTCGACCTGCATTATTCGCGAACGATTAGCGATCAGCCGTGAAACGGGCACGCTTACGTTCCCATAATACGGGATATTTCTTCGGCGATGGGAAAAAATGATTTCCAAAAGGAAATCTATACGGTGAGAATTTTCGATTGAAAATTTACTCTAAAAATCGTGTAATCGTGGGACAACATGGCATTTTGAAGAATTTTATGACACTTTTTTGAAATCTTACTATACATTTTACTAGTGAAATGTATGGTAAAATTTCAATAAACTTATCAAATTGTTCGAAGTGCCATGTTGTGCCACGATTACATGATTTTCAGGACAAATTTTAAGAGAAAATTTTAAGAACTTTATGAGAGATTTTAAAATTTTACCATACATTTTACTAGTAAAATATATTTTAAGTATAATTACCATTGAAATATATGTATGGTAAAATTTCAAAAACTCATAAAATTCTTCGAAATACCCTTGTCCCACGATTACATGATTTTCAGGACAAATTTTAAGAGAAAATTTTAAGAACTTTATGAGAGATTTTGAAATTTTACTATACATTTTATTATATTAGTAAAATATATTTTAAGTGTAATTACAAGTGAAATGTATGGTAAAATTTAAAAAAACTCATCAAATTGTTCGAAGTGCCGTGTTGTCCCACGATTACATGATTTTCAGGACAAATTTTAAGAGAGAATTCTAAGAACTGTATGAGAGATTTTGAAATTTTACCATACATTTTATTAGTAAAATATATTTTAAATATAATTATTAGTGAAATGTATGGTAAAATCTCAAAAAACTCGCATAAAATTCTTCGAAATTCCCTTGTCCCACGATTACATGATTTTCAGGATAAATTTTAAAAGAAAATTCTCTTCGTGTATTAAATGAAAATCCAGCGTATCGTACGCGTCCGCTCGCAGCATCTCACGCGGCGCCTCCGAGAGGGCCGATCGTTATTGTCTCCGGAGGAAATGAGGGACGCGTTAAAAAAAAAAAAGGAAAAAGATGTTACCTAAATGACGAAACACGGCGCGTCAGCGACGAGGAGGGGAAACGTCGGCGCGAGGAAGGCCACGCAGGAAGTCCGGATTACACCCGAGGCCTTACGGGGAGCGCGTTTCTCTCGTGGGCGCTTATATTTAGGCCAGGCTCTCTCGGCGCGGGCTTTACGAGCGCGCGGCCGCGTTCGCGCGCTCGTTAATTCCGCCGTTCACGGGGGATTAAAGCGCCCGATCGCCGTCGACCCCCGGAATAGAACGCGCGGGGCCCGGCGGCGTTTGCACGCGGGTCCCATCCCTCTTTCAATCTCTCTCACCGATCGATTTCCGTCGCTCGCGCGCGCCGTCACCCGATATCGCGACTTTTTAAATCGCGATCTAAAATTACGGACGCGCCCCTGCCGTGACTTTGCGGAAACGGAGCGCGAGTGAGCCGTAATTGGATCGGGACAGATTTAACGAGTTTTGCTCGCGCGGGAGGAAATGATGAATTTTTCTCTCTTTTTTTTTATTCTTCCCCTCTCGCGCTTCCTCGCGAATTCGCGCGTCGCTGGACGAGCGTGTATGCAGAATTGCGAGGGGTATGTAGATTTGCGGCATTACTGGGCATTACTAGGCATTTTTTGGGCATTAGTTTGGGCATTGGGCCTTGCTGGAGCATTATAAAGATATGACAAGATAAAACAAGATAAAACATGTAGGGGTCTTCCCGGGATTTTAGGCTGGATTAGAAGTAAAACTCGCCCGAAATAATAATCAGCGTTTATTAGGACACACTCGAACAATCCGATGTACAAGCTAATATAATGTTACGCGACACAAGCCTTTAACGACTCGCTTTACTTGAGTCTCTTTGTCCGAATGTCTTCGTCGACCGGCACACGGTGTATATGTATATATTCGTCGTCTTCGCCGTTACCTCCCGATTATTATTAAATCACGCGACCGTCACATCGCTTTCAAAGACGAGGAACAAGGGAAAGCGATGAGTCGGGCAAATAATAAAGTATCAAAATAATATCTCACGTCGAACGGTTTCCTACAAACAAGATACATATTATAAAATAAGATAATAAGATAAAGTGATTCCCACTAGGCATTAGTGGGCATTGTACGAGATTTTGGTCAGCGGTTTCCCCCTCGGTAGGTTGTTTAGGCGCGGTAACCCGACGAGGCGCGATCGGTTCGTCCGTGAGACACTTCTCGATGCCGGAAGGTCGATGCAACCGCACACATAAGCGCTGCACCAAATCTCACCAGAACAATGCCTATAGAGCCACACAATTAGATCGGTCGATCAATGCTAGCGCTGTGTTCGAAAACACCCGAATGCCACAGTGAGTCATTTTATCCTTAACGTGCGGTGAGCAACAAAGATAAGATGATACACTGGGATGTCATTTTATCCTTAACTTACGGTGAGCAACAAGGATAAGATAAAATACCAAGCGAGAAGAGCCATGTAGGTCCGAGCAAGATGTAGGTAGCTCAATAATTGTAATTTAAAATGTGAATTCATATACAGTTTTCCATCTTTGTCCTGCGCGCCGGTTTCGACGCGGATTGAATTGAATTGGGATTGGCGATCGGCGATTGTCTTCTAGCCAACGGCTGCGTTCAGCAGAAAACGCTGCTTTGCAACTTGTTGCAAAATTCAGATTCACGAATTTTACAACAGTTGCAAAGCAGCTCATTCCGCTGAACGTAGCCAATGAGAGCAAAGCAGCCAGCGATTGAGTCAACTCTCATTGGCTAAAGGATAATCGTCAATCGCCAATCCCAATCCAATTCCAGTCGGCAATTGGCACAAGTTCTAGTTTCAAGAAATGTGTAGCCAATCAACTTGCAGCTATATTCCAT